AATACTCCAGTAGTCAATTAGTCAATAATGGGATAAAACAAGATAGGCAAAATGTCAATAACTATAGAAGGTAAATGACAGATACCCAGGGACTTATTATTCTGTTTTCTTTACTTGTATGCACATTAAAAATGTTCTGTCATGAAAGATTAAAAATTCATTTCACGTTAAAAGTAGCATGTAGCCCTTTCTACTCAGTAATTAAAAGTCGGTGTTCCTTTCCTTTGTATTGATACAGATAAGTGTGAACATTCCAGACAGTTTTTCTTTGATGATTTTTAATTAAATAAACCAACTTTAAAAAGGGCACTATTGTACAGTAGATTAAAAATGAGCTCTTTGGGACTTAGTTTCAGTAATAAAATTTGTCCTCCCAAACTGATTTTGATGAGGTTTAGATTTCATAAAGTAGCACAAAATAGTGTTCAGTGTCTTTTTCTTTTTGCAATTTTTAAATTAATTTTCTTCACCACTGCCAAGAGCAATTTCTTAAGACAGGCCTTTAGAGGACCCTGCTTTTAAAGCATAGCTGTGTATTTCTCTTCTTTTTTGTACTTTGACCATTTGCCATGCGCACTACTTGAGTGGTAGAGGAGGGGGAATTGAGAATAGGAAAAAGGTGGAAGAGTGGGCTATTGGGAGATGTGTTTTCCATTCAGATTTGTTTCTCTGCCCCTTCATTCATTCCAAAAACTTTAACTCCACTGTCTGCAAAGGCCTATGGGGAAGATGAACTAGTCAGGCAGGGTCCTTCCCCTTCCGGAGTCCTTGCCCCTCTGGGGAGAGTCCTGAGCTGCTGCTGGTTATTTAAGTTACAATGTGGTCAGTGCTGTGAATGTGCAGCGTGCTGCGTGGGGGTCGGGGGTCTTGTCTGGGGCAGAGACGTCCTTGAGTCTGACAGGAGAATAGGAATTGGCTATTTAGGTGGAGAGGTCAGAGGAACAGGGTTAGCAGCAAAGGAAAGTGTGTGCTGGAAGGGGAAGGATTGAGCCTATGTGCCCAGAGCAGTGAGCATTTTGGCCCTTATGTTAAGATCAGTGGAAAGACATTGAAGATTTAAAATAATTTACTCTGAAATATTTCATGCATATAAAAGTATGTAAAAAATGTATGATGAACACTTGTATAGTCATCACCTAGCTGAAGAAATAAAACCTTACTGATACCGTGGAACCCCTGGTTATTGTCCTCTATCTCCTTTTTTTTTTTTTTAATCCTATTCTTTTCCCTCCCTTTTTCCTTCCTCCTTTCTTCCCAGGAGCAACCACTATCCTGAATTTTCTGTTTATGTATTTTTTCTTTTAGTTTTACTATATATGTATGAATCCCTAGTCATGTCTAGTTTTGCATGCTTTTATCTTCCAGTAGTAAATAACAGCATGGATAAATCTCAGTGTAGAGTGAGGATTGTAAATTGCAGGAACTATATAGGATGAAATGACTGAAGGGCTTTATGCAGGGGGGTCGACATTAAGTGTCTTACAAAAGTAATTTTTTATTCAATGTAGATAACAGATTAGAGGTGAGCAAAAATGAATGGGGAGAACAGTTAGAAGAATGCTATAATCTAGCTGGTAGTTGATGGGTGTAGCCTCTTAAGAGAAATTATAACAAACACGTAACCATGGCCCTTTGGGTTCTTGTCCCTCCTATTTGACCTTGCTCTTCCTCAAACATGAAACACTTGTTTCATACTTCTGGGTCTTTCCCTGTTCTTCTACTGAAAGCCTTTCTTCTCAAATCTGCAGTTTTCTCTTTTACTGCACAGAGTTCTTTGCTCAGAGCGGTCTTCCCTGAACACCATTGAGAGGTGACCTCCTGCCCTTGTCATTGTTTTTTAGTCTCCTTACTTGGCTTTGTAATTTTTTATTTATTTATTTATTTATTTATTTATTTACAGCCTGTTTTTCCCGCTAAAATATAGCATCCATGAGGGCTGGGACTTCATCTGTCTTGTCTTACATTGTACCCCCCATCCTCCACCCCTCAATTTGTGCCTTGTATATAGTAGGTGCTTAATAAATACTTGTTGAATAGATTAGTGAGTTGACTTAAGGTTGGGATAATGGACCTTATCCCAAACATCCTTATGGCTATAAACTTTTTCCAGTGCTTGAGGTTAATGCAAAACCCCTGTTCTTACTAGACATTTCAACTTGACTCTTGCTGTCACCTCAAATTCAGTGCTTCTAAAATTACACCTTATCTTCCTTCCTCCAGTCTTCCAGTTTGTTAAAGCCACCATCACTGACAGTCCCTAGGCACAAAACCTTGGCATTATGCAGCGTTCACTAGTCCTAATATCTTGGTGCTTTCTGTGCCCATATATATCTTCAGAGGAGTTTCTGGTCAGTGTTTGCACCTCTGCTTCCTGCTATTAACATTGTAGCCAGCCCTCAAGGCCCTGCTTGAATCCTTCTCTTCTGGGCATCAAGCTGACGTTTCCACCCCAGCACTTTTATACTTATGTCTATAGTTCTTTTTTTAAAACACAGTATCCTGACTTATACTGCTAGTTACTTCCCCATGTCCTAACACTTTAAACACAGTAAAGTATTGGTTACTGGTTACTGATTGAGTCACCTTTATTTCCTTCTTCATTAATCCATTTTTAACCTCATCATGTGTGCCTATCCTTAGTGTTATCCAGAGCCCTAATGCTTGCCATGTTGTGTGACAGATAAGACAGCTGGCAGGACACTTGCCATCAGCATAGTTTTCTTACCTCCAGCTTTTGATCTCATTAGGGCTGGGTTCTCTCTGAGCCTGTGGAGGCTCTTGCAGTTTTAAAAGGTGAGGTTTCAAATCCTGCATCAGGCTGGAAATGGATAGAGGCAATGGAGTGTGAGCTCGTGATGTTATTCTTTAGTTGTATTCAGTTATCTTTTAAAATGAAATCAATAGCTCTTTATACCTACTTAAAGCAGAGTTACAGATTGTGAAGATAATTTGGCTGGTTTAATTATTTTAATTCGTATTTATTGAGTTATATTGCAATGAGCATAGATGTACAAGATGTACATCTTAAGATTTTACTTAGAGGGGTCTTTCAAAATCTAGCAGGTATGGCAGTTATTTAACATGGATATTAGTAAAATATGGTAAATGCTGAATCAGAAGTAGGTGCTATTGGAATGCACAGAAGGAAGTTTTATTGGAACACAGCCATGCCCGTTCATTAAATATTATCTATGGCTACTTTTGTGCTCTACTAGACTGAGTTTAGTAGTTTTGACAGAGAGCAAATGGTCCACAAAGCCTATAATATTTATTTGGCTCTTGACAGAAGATGTTTGTTGAGCCCCGGACTAGAAGATAAAATCAAACTCTTCAGCTCTCAGAATCTTCAGTGATTGCTTCCAAACCTGCCTTTTCTACCAATAATTAACAGATGACTATAGCAGTCTTTGATTTCCTCTGCCCCTTCTGTATGCTTTATGAGCTGCTCTCTGTTACTGGATTGTGGTTTCTGTAGTGTTACAATTGTTCTTTCCTCTTTTGCATGGATTTGGGCAGCAGCAGGGTCAGGACTAGGGCAAGCTGGATGAGGCACTCACCTTGAGTACATAATTTAAGGGAGCCAAAAAAAACTTAGTAGTCAAAATAAATAATGTCTTAGTGCAGTAATTAAAAAAATAAAAATCAATGCAAAAAATCTATGATTATTAAAACATCAGTTCTAAATAAAAATAGATCAGAATTACTAATTTTTTGGTTTTACTCAGGCTCCAACATGGCTCAGTTTAGCACTAGGCAGCTGAGCACAGGTAACCCATACTTAAACCACTACAAACCCCAGACACTCATACTTCTTACATAAATATGGTAGTTAGAGTTTTTAGATTTAAAATAACCTGTTGGTCACATTTAATGACATACACTTAGATCCATATCGGGACTACTTTTATAAAGTATAATTATGCGAGTATTCTGTTGAATTTAGTGATCTGTATATAATCCTATATAATAAAAGTCTCATATGCTAAGTGTCTGGTTGTCCAATCGTCCATTCAACCAATCAAATATAATATGCTAATGATATGCTAAGGCCACTCAACCGCTCACTATAATGTGCATTGACCACCAGGGGGCAGACAGTTGACCGGTCAACCAGTCGCTGTGACATACACTGACCACCAGGGGGCAGACGCTCCAACCGGTAGGTTAGCTTGCTGCTGGGGTTTGGCTGATCAGGACTGAGGGAGACAGGACGGACACTGTGGAGCTCTCCCACAGTCCCTACCCATCTGGCCAGCCTCCTGCATCCCTCCCTGGCCCCGATCATGCACAGGTGGGGTCCCTCAGCTTGTCCTGCGCCCTCAAAATCTAGGTCCCCTTGGGGGATGTAGGAGAGCCAGTTTTGGCCTGATCCCACAGGCCAGGCCAAGGGACCCTACTGGTGCACGAATTCATGCACCAGGCCTCTAGTCTATTGTATAAAATGACATTGAAAATTTTTCCAAATAGTTTATTTGAAATGGTTCACTGAGGGCAGTGAAGCATAGATTAGAATAGCAGCATTGGATAGCAGCTGGTAAATAGCAGCTGTTTACCAAGAGATCTGAAAGAATCACCTGGTTCCTATAAGCTTTTTCTAAGAAAGACCAGCTAGTGATAGTAATTGAATTTTAATGTTTTCTGATAAACATTGACCCAGCAAGCTTTTTTAGACGGCTTTCTGATCTACTTTGACATTTCCTCAGGGTGGTGCAAACAGTGACTTGTTGGTAGGTTTAAAAATATGTATAACTTGTTTTAGTGAAGGAGATTTGGAAATATTCTGTAGAATTTTATTAAAGTAGAATCTGTAAGGAATAAGTCTGGAGGAGTGGACAAGGTAACTTTCCATTTCTCAGACACCATGTTAAGATTTGTAGACTTGATATTTCAACAAAGTAAATTAGTTGTTCTAGCTGGCTATCACTGTTATAAGGAGATAAAATATAGTATTGAACTTGATCCTCTTTTGTTTTCTAAATAACACTTTTAAATGTTTATAGGTATATAGTGTTGATTGGAGCCAAACCAGAGGTGAACACCTTGTGGTATCTGGTTCATGGGATCAAACCGTCAAATTGGTATGTTGACATTGCTGTATTTAAAAACAAATATTCCTTGCCCTAAAGCTTCCACTGCTTTTTTTCTATTCTAGAATATATTTTATGTAGCTTTTAAATTAGGCAGCTAATTTTATTTAAAAAAAAATGTATGAAAGCATTTATTAGAATTTAATATTTTGTAATCTTTTGGCTGTAAACTAATAATCAGCTCAGCATTGATTATTTTGGCCCCTTAAATGCCATCTTGATTTATGTAAAAATAGATTTTAAAAAAGTCCTTGAGACACGTATGTATATCATATGTGTATATGTGAAAGCATACATTTGAATTTACCTGTTAAGTAATTGATCTGTTCATTTATTTGTAGTGGGATCCAAATGTAGGCAAGTCTTTATGCACCTTTAGAGGCCATGAAAGTGTCATTTATAGCACAATCTGGTCTCCCCACATCCCTGGTTGCTTTGCTTCAGCCTCAGGTAAGTAATTCCATATTTACCGAAAGTCTTACTTGTAGTGAATGGTGGTCTTGCTTTCCCCAATAGGTGGCGCTGTGTACCTTAGATTCTGAGGAAATAACACACCAAAAAACCCAATTCTTTGTGCTCTTTAGACTGTTTCATTCTTTCCCAACCTGGATTACTTTTTGATGATTCTAACCATTTGACTTACATATTTCTTTTTGATGAGGTAAGAGGTGTAGGACAAAGAGCAGTTGAGGACTTGGGCATCAGTCTCTCTTTGATGTTTACCCTTCTTTTTTGGGGTATTCTCTGTGATTCATTGCCACTAAGCCATATAGCAAGAACAGGTTTTGGTATGATCTTTTTTTTGACAGTTGCTTTGCTTTTGATTGATGTTAGCAATTTTAAGGTAAAGTAGATACTTATATTTATGTCTCTATTTTTTATAGAGAAAATTTATTTTGTCAACCGTAATAATTACACTTTGTACTATTTGCATAAAGATTTACAAATGTGATTTGTGGGCCAATCATAAATCATGTAAAATCTGAACAGTCTTATGAGTTGTAGAGACACGTTGCCCAGGTTCTCTGCAGTGCCATTACAGCAGCGCAGTCCAGCTGCCAGCTGTCTGGTCTTCACTCATTTCTAGCTGCTCTGGAGCTCCTTTCCCCGGGCCACTTGCCTCATTCTCCCCACACCCCTTCAATCTGCCCTTGCCGCTTTTGTGCTTTCTTCCCACAAGTCTAGCCTCTCTCTTGTGCTCTCCTGATTTTACATGAACAAGTTCAGTGTCAGGGTCCTCCAGAGGGCGACGGAAAGAGCAACCCCTTCTGCCTGTGGTTAGAGAGAGAATTGTTCTCCACAGAGAGGAAGCAGTGCATTGAAAGGCATTTGGAGTTAGAGTTCATGTGGTTAAGAATATGGAATACCAGTTCTTAGTGATATTGTAATATCTGCTACACCAAGACTTTTGCTAGTGTGAATTAGATAGAACGCACTATTAATGAACAAATACAGTTTCTCTTAGGCAGATTACAACTGGTTATAAATCTTTCAAAAGTAGGAACCAGTCTAGCTGTTTTCACTAGCCCCTGAGCTGCTTTGCATAAATGGTTTTATCTTTGGTTTGTTTATCAGAATAAAGGTTGCTAAGTTGGAGTAACAGTTATAAGAATATGTAACATGTGCTAATTAATCATAAATATTGTGGTGATTGACTAAGTAAGATCATCACTTTTTATTTTTTACTTTTATAACTTTCAAAAAATAAATTTATAAAGAAAAAAGTGGTATTCCAGATAATTCCTATTCCAACCATGTACCTACAGTGAGGAAATTCAGACAACACAGAAACATGCCAAATAAAAAGTAAAAGCTTCCCCTCCCCCTCCCCTTTATTTAACCATTATTAACATTTTCTTGTGTTTCTCCATAAAAATTCTTTTGCCCACTCCAGAATATATGGTACAAAAGATTTAAAATATTTGTGGGGAATATTTTTGAGGAAAAAGTCAGATACTTTCAAAGGCTGAATTTGCTTAGTGAATGTTAAGTTTTATATGCTTAAAACCTTTGTTGTTGTTGAAATTGCATAGGAAAATAACTTTGTTACTATGAGTCAGAATTCTCCTGTCCCAGATTCCCAAATTCTTTTTTCCCATTGAAAACATTGTTTTTAGAAAACAGTTTTTGATTGTGGAGATTTCTTAATAATCTTAATACAGTATAATAGCTGAATTGAATAAATCATACCACCATTCAGAAAGAGTTTTTGGACCATAGTTTTGATGAACTTGATGGAAAAGAATATCCATCAATTATATATCGTGAATTATATATACATTTATATTATATACTTAAATTTATTAAAATAATTTTAACGTAGAGAAAGAGGTACATCAAGGCTTTTGGGATGGGAAGAAGAATATATTTTTTCTTGTCACGTTTCCTTTTCCAAGCTTAAATTTCTTCTTTCATCTTTTATCTTTCTGTTGTGCAGTTAGTCATAAGGCCAGTTGTGTATAAAGTAAATGATAGCAATACTGATACATTTAATTTGAATTAACTCTTTAGCCTACATATATAACTTGAGTTAATCATCTTTTGTGCTTTAATTTATTGTCAATGCTAATGAGTTTCAAGATTATAGTGAATCACATCTGTAAGATGACCACAGTTCAGTGTAATGGATATACGTAATTTTCATAATTTTACTATTAGTAAAAAGCTCTAACATAGAGTATTAGTACAATTAAATTAAAATTTTAATGAAGATGTGAATCAAATTTATGTTAGCATCATTTTCTTAGAAAAGGCATGCCCTTTAGCCTTTTATCCTACAGTTCCAAAGGAGACATTTCAAACCCTGAATGGAATTAATGGTATAGAATAGATCAGTGGTTCTCAACCTTCCTAATGCCGTGACCCTTTAATACTGTTCCTCATGTTGTGGTGACTCCAACCATAAAATTATTTTCGTTGCTACTTCATAACTGTAATTTTGCTACTGTTATGAATCATAATGTAAATATCTGATAATGCAGGATGTATTTTCATTGTTACAAATTAAACATAATTAAAGCATAGTGATTAATCACAAAAACAATATGTAAGTATATATGTGTTTTCCGATGGTCTTAGGTGACCCCTGTGAAAGGGTCGTTCGACCCCCAAAGGGGTCGCGACCCACAGGTTGAGAACCGCTGGAATAGATCCACTTTCAATGATCTGAAACATGCTTCACGGGTAAAACAATGAAGACATGTCCGCTGGGAGCTCTGATTGTCATTATTCATAATAAACTAGAATTAATAATGACTGCAATTTTACATATTTGGAAAAGTGTTAGTAAGCAAAACTCCCTGAACTACTAACATATTTTTTAAAAATTCCTTTATCTTATTATTGTATATAATTTTGTTAATTTATATTATTATTTAAGTTCTAAAATTGTCTCCATTTTATTTTAATCGTTCTTCTTTTTATGCCCATGACCAAATGCAAAATCTGACAGTGACAAAATCATGAACTAACACAGCTGCATTTATTTAAATGTCAGGTAGAATTGTGTATATTAGCCCTTTATTTGAACTGAGTCACACACACCACTTGTTTCATTGGCCTTTTGTGTAGCATGGTATACGTAATATTGACTCTGGATATTACATATAGAGTGTTCAGTGTGAGACTGAATAGCAGAAAAAGATTTGTTATATGTAGAATATTAGCAGTATAATCATAAAACAATATTTAAAACTATCTGTATGTTGTAAATAGACAGTGTATAAAAATCTTTTATCAACAGTGTTCATTAGCTTTAGTAGAAAAAAAGACCATCTGTTTAATGACATTATTTGCATGTGTTATAATTAGAAGTGAATATAAATAGTGATCATATTAACCAGGACTTATTTTGTTGAAATTGAAAAAAATTCTGACCCAAACTAGTAAAGGAAGAAGATAATTTATTTGCTCACATAGTTTTAAAGTCCAGAATTAGAACTGGCTTTATAGAGACGTGACTGGATATGGGATTTGAAGGATGTTCTCATTCTCATTTTTGTTCTGTTATCTGCTCAGTTGGTTTCAGTATCAGGTACCACGTGATAGCAAAATGGCAGTAGTTTTAACCCCCACATCCTTTTTGGTTTCTGCACAGTAGGAAAAAGTGAGAGGTTCTCGGACATCTAGGAAAGTTTCGTTTCTCTCATTGGCTCAGAGGGTCTCTGTGGTTGGAGAGGGGAGTGTAATGTGTTAGTTGGCTTCTTCCCCGCTTAGTTCCTGCCATTGGGAATGGGAAATGGGAGAGAGTGGTGCCCAAACTGCATACACTGAGAATGGAAAGAGTTGAATCCTGATTAGGTGGAAGTAGATGGATACATTCAAGGGGGCCAACTGTCACTAAAATGCTACTTATTCGAGGCTTAAAATAGATCTGAGGGGTTTTGATGAAAATCAAGCACTAGACCTGTGTGCTATGAAATATGTTTCTTTAAAAAATGTACTCAAAGATTTAGTAACCTTCAAAGTTGTATGCAAATCTACTAGTAGAACTAAATTTATCATTAGCTAAATTAAGACAGGCCAAAAAGGGGGATTTGTTAGAGATTTAGATCTAGATTTACCTTCCATAGCAGAGTTCTCTAAGGATGTTGCATTTTGTCTAGTTCATGGTAGTTGTATTAGTACAGAATTTATATTTCTAAATTATATGAACTAGAAGGGAAGAATATTTGAGCTTGTTGTGGAAAGAGGATTAATGTGAAGTAAACTTTCTTGTGAACCATGAAAACTAAGTTACTGCTCTTACAGACGCCATATAATTGCATAAATGATAGCCATGTGTGAATGTGTTGGGTCTAGTAGTTAAGAAAACCTCATTCTACTCTAAGAAAACGTCATATGCTATCTGATAGGCATCTGGTATTTCAATTAAATTAAATTATTTGGGCCCAAACAGTTCACTTCACTCTTTCAAACTCAACATTTACACTCATTCTTTCTACCCAACTTCCTTTCATCTGCTGCAATTTGAAATTTAGACGTAGTAGCAGCCAGTGCTTCCTATTCTGCACTGTGCACTTTCATTCATTGGTTCTGCTGCCATTGGCAGATCTGCAACTGATAAGAGAAGCCGGTAATTCAGGTGGGTCTATGGCACCATTACAGGGCCCTGATAAATGTTCAGCTGACAATGAAAGGCCAGTTTTTTTGAAAATATGATTTGAAAACAGCAAATACAGGTGTCCCGGTGGCTCAGAGAGTTGAGCGAGTCTTTGCGCCATTTGGCCAGAAAGTCTCTATCCTACCTGGCAAACCAGCGGATGAGGATGAAGTACCAAATGTGTGCAGCAGGAGCGACTGTCAAGGAAGTGAATTCTTAGCTCCTGCAGAGCAATTCTCACTTTCTGGTGCCCTTTAAATTAACTGCAAGAGGGGACAGGCCATGGCACTTAAAAAAAAATGTTGTTTGGGAATGATAGTGAGGAACCAAAATATTGTCCTAGAGAAGTTTAGAATAACCAACTACCCAGCCTTTGTTGTTGTTTTGTTTGGTCTTTATTGGAGTACTAGAGTCCCGGTGCATGAAATTCGTGCATGGGGGCAGTGGGGGCCCCTCAGTCCGGCCTGCACCCTCTCGAAATCTGGGACCCGTTGGGGGATGTCTTAGAGGGATCGGGCCTAAACCGGCAGTTAGACATCCCTCTCACAATCTGGGACTGCTCGCCCCTAACTGCTCGCCTGCCTGCCTGCTCAGTGTGTGTCATAGCGACTGGGTTTCGGTCGTTCTGCTGTAATGGTCACTTAGGCCTTTATAAATATACACTAGAAGCCCGGGGCACAAAATTTGTGCATGGGGGGTGTCCCTCAACCTGGCCTGCACCCTCTCCAATCTGGGACCCTTGGGGGATGACTGACTGCTGGTTTAGGCCCAATTCCTATGGGATCTGACCTAAACTGGCAGTCGGAAATCCCTCTCACAATCCGGGACTGCTGGCTCCTAACCACTCACCTGCCTGCCTGCCTGATCACTCCCTAACCACTCCCCTGCCGGCCTGATTGACACCTAACTCTCCCCTGCCAGCTCGATCACCCCCAACTGCCCTCCCCTGCAGCCTGGTCATCCCCAACTGCCCTCCCCTGCTGGCCATCTTGTGACAACGTGGGGTGGCCATCTTGTGATGCGAGGGCATGAGGGTCAATTTGCATATTACCTTTTTATTATATAGAATAATACACATATAGAACAGCGCAGAATCTTAAGTATACAAAGCAATGGATTTTTACAATGAACACATCTGTGTACCAGCAACCAGATCAAGAAATAGAATGTTTCCAGAGGCCCTCATATCTTCCAGTCATTACTGTCCCCGCACCCCAGGGTGACCACTGTGCTGCCTTCTAATAGCATAGATTAACATTGCCTTTTGTGTCTGGTTTCTTTTGATCAACATTCTTTGTGGGATTCATCCATATTGTTGTTAGAATAACAGTTATTTCTTAACCTCCTAGTCAACATTCATTATAATATTTTGTCACCTTAAATCATTCATATCCATATAATGTAATTTTTAGGGTGAACACAAGCTCTCTGAACTTTAAGCAATGCTTAATAGTTATAGCAGACTTTATATTTCAGCCCTAATATAAAATAAATTTTTGAAAGCTCGTGTACACTATTTAGGCACTTTCTATGTTTTAGTGGAAGCCTCGTGCAGAATCCAATGTTTTTGTCTGTGACTAGGCTTTTAGTGACTGAAGCTCCAAGTGAACTTCATCACTCCCTCCAAGATGATTAGGGATCTCCTTTGCCTACAGGCCTTGCTTGGACCTGTCTGGTCAGCTTCTCCTATCAGTTGCAGACCTGCAACCTCTACATTTCATCACTACCAACAAATTAATACTTATCTTTCTTAAGCAACATCCAAGGAAATCAGGAAAAAAATTATCTAAAATAGCTAAATTTAGCTAAATGATCTGATTAAGAATCTGAAATATAGGAACATATATGTAGGTAAGTAAAGAATAATTTAAAGATTTAGCACTTCTACATGCCACTTATTAAAATATCTACTCTGTGCTAGCAGTCATGATAGGTGCTTTGCAGAAACTTTTATTACACTAAATTCTTGTACAACCCTGCATGCAAGCATTGTTTCTTTTTTAGCAATGAGGAATCATTCTCAGAGATATCATAGAACTTGTGCAGGGTCGCACACCACTAATGGAATTCAAGACCTTGACTGCCACCACCCCATAGACCACAATCTTTTTTTAAAAAAATATATTTTATTGATTTTTTACAGAGAGGAAGGGAGAGAGATAGAGAGTCAGAAACATCGATGAGCGAGAAACATCGATCAGCCGCCTCCTGCACATCCCCCACCAGGGATGTGCCCGCAACCCAGATACATGCCCTTGACCGGAATTGAACCTGGGACCTTACAGTCCACAGGCCGACGCTCTATCCACTGAGCCAAACCGGTTTTGGCTAGACCACAATCTTATCATCAATATGAACTAGCTTTCTCTCATGATCAGTAATTGCAATTTACTTTTGATGTAGCTATATATATTTATTTATCCTGGGATTTATTCATCTGGGCATTTTGTTGTTTTCTCATAGTTTACAAAAATTCAAGGTAAACAGCACATAAAACATTTAATCGGGTGACTTTGTGTAGCTAAGCAATGTAAACCAGTTTTGTAATAATGCAAAGTATAATTCTTAAAATTTTTCAACTTGTTTTTTTCCAAGGAGAAAAAATCTCTCTGGATGGCCGATTAAAATGTGGCAAACATAAAAACTAAGATTTAAAAATTCTCCATTTTGGTTTGGTAGACTTTGCCTACACTTAATAGTAAAATTGTTACTGTTTTGTTTCCTATAGCATGTGAGCACTAACTTCATTGATTAGAAGCAAGGATTTGGGGGCTCTTTTCCTGAAGAAAAAAAGCACAGATGTGTGTTTGGTCAGCACTGTGCTTTTCTCAGTGTGAGATTCAGATTTTTCCAATTTGAATACATCTAAAAAACATTGTCATGGTGTGTTATTTGTTTGAGTTCATCAGTTTTAGTAGGTCTTATAGTGCAATTATTATAGTTAAAAACAATATGTGCATTTATGTGATAAACACATGGCAATATCCTGTCAGTGAAAGCAGTGTGTTTCCCATGAGTTACCATCATGAGTGCGTGTCACTGAGCATACAGGTTGTGTGATGCACAGTGATCAAGCCTTCCTCTTTCACCAGGTGATCAGACCCTGAGGATCTGGGACGTGAAGGCAGCAGGAGTCAGAATTGTGGTTCCAGCACATCAGGCAGAAGTTTTGAGTTGCGACTGGTGTAAATACAATGAGGTACTCTGTCTGGCTCTGTCCTGATCTGCCCAGCTCTTCCTAATGGTGAAATGTTCTAGATTTTATTTTGTCTTTGTTTATGTGGATTTGATAGTGTTTATGAACCATTAAGTTAAATTTAGTCCCTTTCACTTCTAATTGACGATTGTGAGTGACCTGCATTAGCATTAATTGGATTTAAGTGCACATAAAACAGGCAGAATAAGAAACAGAAATTCTCAAAGTTCAACAGTGCAGCCTTACTTGTTTGTTTCGGAAACTGCTTTACAATTTATGTGATTTTTTTTTCTTTATTGCTCTTAACCCTGCCAATTTGTGTCAACTTTTGCTTTCTATCCTTGTTCATGTTGCTACTCAGGCTGCTGAACTATTTGTAGGTTGATTTTTAATTTAACATTCCATCAGTTTTTAATATTTTCTGTTTTATCTTCCCTTATAAGCCTAACCAAGCTTCATGCTTCTTAAGATAGCTGTGTCCAGTTGTAACTTCTTGTAACACTTAAGTTAACCACAGAAACATATGAATTAGAAATAGCAATGAATCAAGTATGTGCTGACATATATATTATTTATATACCTGAAGTGGCCTGCTGCTGTGACAAAGAAGTAAAACATATGCCTTATTTTCCCCTGTGTTAAATTAATGAATAAAAAATAAGAGCACATTTTATTGGCAGATTTTTTTAAATAAAAAGAAATAAAATAGATTTAAAAAATACAGTACCTGTTCAATAGTAATACTTGATCAAAATAAAAATTTCAGTGCTGACAACTATAGTTTATTCTCATCATAATGATTTTTTCATATAGGAAAATGAAATTGTGAACTATATATTTGGGAATTCTAAAAAAGAAGCCCATTGACACTTGAGAGTGCTTTAAATTTTATTTTTAAACATTGAAACTTATCTTTAAATGAGCTTATACTGAAGCCCAACACATTCAGACAATGAATTATTGGTCTGGTTGATGTGGGATAGAGCTGAGTGTGAACTCGGCACTTGGCCTATTCAGCCAGGAACTCTGGATCCACTTGGGTTTGTAAAAAGCAGAAGTTTCAAAACCCACTAGATAAGGAGGCTTATCATTATTTGCATAGATTTTCTGATATGTTTAGATATCATATTAAGACATGGCCTGTGGGAGTTGGGAACAATGATTGATTTAGACTTAGAAAAATATATAAAGATTTAATTTATACCTTTGCTTTAAAATATTTCTAAATTAACAGAACTTTTGCCTTTTAATGCCCAATAAACCCCCAGGGCATGCTGAAGAGAAAGGTAATTCATTGTCAGATGTAATTTTTAATCCATCTTAATATTACTTCTTAATATTACTAAAGGTGGATTGGAAAATCTACAATGCTATTTGGGATTACGCTTTTTTCTGTAGTGTGTAGTGTTCCACACATGCTTAAAGTATATGTAGTTATTTTTCTCTCAAGTCAGACTAATTTTTGCTTTTCTGATGTATAATTTGATTCCTTTCTATACTTCTCATATAACTTCTCAAGAATGACTCCTGTGTTCTAATTAAATAATGATCTGAAAATAGATATTGTTTCTAGTAGAAAAGCCTGGACACTACTTAATTCAAAAGTTGTCACAGTTTACTTTTCTTTGCATTGCTTTCAGAATTTGCTGGTGACGGGGGCAGTTGATTGTAGTTTGAGGGGCTGGGACTTGAGGAATGTTCGACAACCAGTGTTTGAACTGCTTGGTCACACCTATGCTATCAGGAGAGTGAAAGTAAGTTTTTATTCTTTCTTTTTATACATAGAATAAAATATAACCAATGAAGTATAAAAGGTGCTTATGGGTTGGAGTTATTTATTATTTTTTATGCATGTTTTTGTTACCCAACTAGTTATAGTGAACATTGAAAGCTAATATTAGGTAAAATATTTGAATAATTATTGAATGAATTGGGACAATGTAGCCAATTCATACTTAGAGTTAAATAATTTTTTTATTCTGTCATCCCCAATCTACTATTCTTTTAATATCTTTTAACTATATAGTAATTACTTTTAGTATTATATGCTTCATAATTTTCCATTCAGTGAGATGGTCTCTTTTCTTTGTTGAAACTCATATAGCAAAATGGTTAATTTTTTTCTTTTATCTACCATGATAGTATATATGAATTTTCACAAACATTTGAGGTATAAAAAGTTTTCCACTTTTTATAAACAGCAGAGGATGAGATAACTTTTTTCTGCTGCTCCTAAGAAATTTGCCTGCTTATAACAGCCATAATTTAGTTTTCCAGCTTCTATTTAGGTAGGCTTTGCTAATTCACTGTAGAAAACATCTTACTACGTCACATCTTTGAATTTCATTCTTTGTTTTGAACACTGAAGGTAAAAAGTACCTTATTGATCTTTTGTTTATTAAAAAAAATATTTTTATTGATTCCAGACAGGAAGGGAGATGGGGAGAGAGAGAGAAACATCAAGGATGAGAGAGGATCATTGATTGACTGCCTCCTGCATGCCCCCTATTGGAGATTGAGCCTGCAACCCAGGCATATGCCCTGACTGGGAATTGGACTGTGACCTCCTGGTTCATAGGTTAATGCTCAACTGCTGAGCCACTCCAGCTGGGCTTATTGATCTTTTCAATAAGATAATTATGCTATTCCTATTTCAAAAATCTAAAATTTCAATTAAATTAATATTTTAAATTTTACTGACTTCAACTTAACATATGAGACACAGTGCCCTGGCACACAGGTTTTAGCAGTTGAAGATTTTTTCAATTTTTGTTCACAGTGTTTCTGAGAATGAAATAGGGTAATGTAGCGAAAGTATTTTGCAAACTAGAAAGTTGGCAAATCTAGTTATTATGTGTATGTAACTATTAAAGTACTGGTGAGAAAGACAATAAAGAAATGTCATGCAAAGGGCAGCTTATGAAAGTATGTTATTACTTATGTAAAAGATACTATTTTAAATTTAAGTGTTTTTCCTGTAGATGATAATGTACATAAAAGGCTAAAATATTTTTGCCTTGAATTAAAGCATATAAGGTTCAGAAAAGCATAATTTTTAGTGACAGCCCTGACTAGATTTTAACTTATTAAGCATGTTATAATTACAGCTAACCAATAAAATGTTTTGTTTTATAGTTTTCACCATTTCATTCTTCTGTGCTGGCTTCTTGTTCCTATGATTTTACTGTAAGGTACAGTAGTTTTGGATAAGTTTCATTATGAAATACCTAATAGCAGTTGCATCTTTGCAATTTTTAGGAAGATAATGTATTTATCTTACTAATATAAAAAAATGTGAGCTGGGCGCATTTGAAAATTTGCCACTGGTTTGTGAGTTTTTAATGGTATTTACTTCAACTTATATTGATTGCATAAATAACCAAGGCATTTACTCTACTTTCCTTATTTTCCACTCTCCCTTCTCCATCAAATTTTGAGTTGTTTTATTTATACTTTGTCACAACATGCAATATATAACATATAGCACCGTCATATTATATATTATTCTTCTACTCTTATTTCTACCTTTGTTTTGTTTTTAGATATGTAACTAAATATATTAAGTATTCATCACCAATTTTTTTGCTGAAATTTCCCCATCATCTCTTGGTTTGTTGAGTTTTTCTTCTAGTAGATTCCTCAAGAAGGGCTGATGATTAGGAGCCCGTGTATGTTTAAAACTGTTTCTCTATGTCCTCGATACTTACAGGATAGCTTAACTGAGCATAAACTAAATTTACATTTCTTTCCTGCAGCTTTTTGAAAATGCTCCCTCATTTTGGTCTTGTTTTATGTTGTTTTTGAGAATTTCGATGGCAGTTAATGGTCTTGTCCTTGTGAGTTATTTGATCTTTTTTCAGTTCCATTTGCTTGCTGCAGGTTAAAGGGTTCAGTGGGTTCTTTAAATAATGTAGCTTCAAGTCTTCTTTTATTTCCAAAAGGTTTTTTTTGGATTATAATTTGAAATATTAGTTCTGGGACAATAGTTTAATGTTTACAGAGGCTCTCAACATAACTTGAATCTCTTTTCGCAGTCTTCTATATCAAATGCTTTCTCTCTGATGCTTTTTACTTTTTAATTAAAAAAAAATCTCGTTTTCATTCTCTTGGTTGTTTTTCTGCTGTTTTCAGAGCCGTTATTATGTTATGTAAATGTATTCTTTGGGCACTATGTAATTTTGTCTTCATTTCTGATATAATTTTGCCTTTCCCCCTCTATTTCTTTCTTGTGTTTATTCAGCTCTATTTCACTTCTTTCTGTTTTTGCCCACTTCTTTTCTTTGTTTTTGCAATTCCTGATTATAAGGGGAAAACTATTTTTCTCCTCTACTGTCAGTATTCTTGAGACCAAATGTGTGTGGGGTTTTCTCCCACCAAGCAATTCTTCAGTTCTCAGCAGACACCAATTAGGTATCCTATAAATTTATTAAAAAATTTTAAGACTAAGGCCTCAGTTCCACAAGACTGCCCCATTTTTAATGTCAATCGGAAGTTCAGGTGGTCACATGTACTTCTAACCTACCAACTATAAATTGTAGGTTCCCATGACCCCCTCCTCAGACTTGATAATTTTTTAGAATGGCTTTTATCAGTTTATTTTTAAAATATTATAAAGTATGAAGATAAACAGATGAAGAGGTACATAGGGAGAGTTTGTGAAGGTCCCAAGTGCAGAAACTGGGGTGAACCACTCTCCCAGCTTGTGGTTGTGTTCAATCTTGGAGCTCATCAGATCTTATTGTTCAAGAGTTTTTATAGAGCTTAATTTTCAGCCCCCACTTCCTTCCCTGGAGGTTAGTGGGTGGGGTTGAAAGTCTAGCCCTCTAATCCCTTGGTCTTTCTGGTGACCAGCCCCTTCCAGAGGTTATATAGGGGCCCCATCCTAAATTACCTCATTAGCAAAAACTCTGGTGTGCTCAAAGGAGGCTCCTCATTGAATAACAAAATACTCTTTGTCATTCAGGAAATTCCAAGGGTTTTAGGAGCCCTGTATTTTGAAGCAGGGACAGAAATGAAATCTACTCTTATACTACATTGATCAAGGCTTTTTTCTCTTTTTGATGTCTCCAAATGCTTGTTTAAAGATGTTTAATTCAGTTTAGGATGTTATATTCTAGTTTTCTTCTACTTTGCTGTCTGTTTTCTTGGAGTGAATCGTTCGTCAGGTGAATTGTTTGAATTATTGTATCCATTTTATTTTGATAGGATTTTAAAAAATTTTTAATAAATGAAGACCTTATGTCTCTGCTTCTCTCTTCCCTGTTCAGTTTTGTTTTCCCTAAACTGCTCTCACTGTCCGCACAGGCTTGCAGCTGGAACATGGGAGAGAGCTCATTGGTACTCTCTCTGTCTTTTTCTTTTTACATGTGATTGCAAGTTTGGATGTGTTAAAGATCTGAGTTTTGTGTAATATTAATTGTTCTTTTTGTTGTTCTGTATTGGTTTTTGTGACGATACACTAAGAATTTTAGACTTACATAACCTGATTGCCTCAACTACCCAGAATTCCTCTCTCGTTCTGAGTCAGTATTTTATATGGGAGAAGCTATATAACTTTGTTTGTGTAGATTGTACTTCTAATAGAATAAATTACAATGCCTTGAGAGAAATTACATGCTTTAACTTTTTTTTTTGACTGATATAATAAAAGCAGGGAGACAAACCAGGAAACATAATCACACTGAGGCTTCTAGCTCTCAATTAAAATGATACCATAACCAGGTTTTTTGTGTGTTTTTTAAAAATATATTTTATTGATATTTTACAGAGAGGAAGGGAGAGAGATAGAGAGTTAGAAACATCGATGGGAGAGAAACATTGATCAGCTGCCTCCTGCACATCTACTGAGGATGTGCCTGCAACCAAGGTACATGCCCCTGACTGGAATCGAACCTGGGACCCTTCAGTCCACAGGCCGACTGCTGGGGTCTGATCCCAGGAGTCTACAGGCCGATGCTCTATCCACTGAGCCAAACCGGTTAGGGCTAGGTTTTGTTTTTTTTATAATAGCATATATAAAATACTAAAGAGTTATTACAGAATTTTTAGCATGGGAGTTAAATAACGGCAACGTGGCAGAAAAGAAGAAAAATTATCAGCTGTTTTCCATCCCCCCCAAGTGTTTCCAGATTGAAACTGTGGAGCTAGATCATTGACTGGAGGAAAGGCTATAAATGTGGATTCAAAAGTCATTAACTTACTGATAATTCAGCCTGTAAGAGTGAATAACTAAAAGGAGATGAGTTTAGAGCAGTGGTTCTCAACCTTCTGGCCCTTTAAATACAGTTCCTCATTTTGTGACCCAACCATAAAATTATTTTCGTTGCTATTGTAGTTAAAGTGATTAACTACCCGCCTGGCACTTAGTTAAGGAGTTTCACCCCCTCCCTGACTTCAGGGGAAAATCTCTACCTGGGGAAACAACCTTTCTCGGAGAGGTGACCTTGGTTAAAACACATAGTGCCAAGAAGGTGAGCAAATATATTAAGAACAGTATGCCATATATGCCAGGTCCCTTGAAACAGCAAGGATGGACCGGCTCCCGGCAGCCGACGCTCCATCCACTGAGCCAAACCGGTTAGGCCTAGATTTTGTTTTTTTTAAAATAGTATATATAAAATGCTAAAGAGTTATTATAGAATTTTTAGCATGGGAGTTAAATAATGGCAACGTGGCAGAAAAGAAGAAAAATTATCAGCTGTTTTCCATCCCCCCCAAGTGTTTCCAGATTGAAACTGTGGAGCTAGATCATTGACTGGAGGAAAGGCTATAAATGTGGATTCAAAAGTCATTAACTTACTGATAATTCAGCCTGTAAGAGTGAATAACTAAAAGGAGATGAGTTTAGAGCAGTGGTTCTCAACCTTCTGGCCCTTTAAATACAGTTCCTCATGTTGTGACCCAACCACAAAATTGTTTTCGTTGCTACTTCATAACTGTAATGTTGCTACTGTTATGAATCGTAATGTAAATATCTGATATGCAGGATGGT